CGTGTAGGCTGCTTTACTTCCACTACATCTCAGAGAAACATGTGGCACTTTTTACTTGACTACATTTATCAGAAGTTATTTTGGAGATTGAGCTTTTATACAAACACTGTGAAAATCTTAGCAATTCATTTATTATTCAATCCCCAAAGTCTTGTTTTCCTAAAACGGGCTAAGTGGTGCGTTTCTGAAATGAAACGAGCTGATACTTGTTAGAAACACGTTGAAATGATTTGGGGAGAAATGTTGATTTCAGATACCACGTCAATTGGAGGGGGCGTCCAGCAGGGGGCGGTAGGAGCTGCTTTATTTCAGCCCAGAAGAAGAAAACAAATGAAAACAATATGGCAGCCTCCTCAGGACACGTTGAAACAGCGTCCGCGGGTCCAGATTCTCAAGAGTCGCACAAATCCGGAGCTCCAGAAACCACCAGAGACCCACAAGCCTCCGACTCAGACCTGGCAGATACAGAACCACAACCGGATCCCGATGAGGACGACGACGAGGTTGGAGGGGAGCCACCCGGACCGAAGATCCGAGAAACCCCGGGTGACATCCGACTGGAGGCGTCCGCCAACACGGTGGCGCTTCATCCGAGCCGGGACATCCTGGTGTGCGGGGATGTGGACGGGGACGTGTACGCCTTCTCCTACTCGTGTACGGAGGGGGACAACCGGGAGCTGTGGTCGTCCGGACACCACCTGAAGTCCTGCCGCCAGGTGCGCTTCTCCGCGGACGGGCTGAAGCTGTTCAGCGTGTCTCGGGACAAAGCCATCCACCTGCTGGACGTGGAGCGGGGACAGCTGGTCACCAGGATCCGAGGGGCGCACGAGAGTCCCATCAACAGCCTGCTGCTGGTGGACGAAAACATCCTGGCGACCGGAGACGACGGCGGAACCCTGAAGGTCCGGACAGGAAGTACCGTTAATTAAAACTGTGGTTGGTGGTTGGTGGTCCGAGCTGTTGTTGAGATCAGAGCTGGTCCGGTCCTTTGATGGACTAATCCGGTCTTCACATGGGGCTTGTTTCTCAAAGGGTAGCTGATCGTTTCCATGTCTAAAGGTGGTTTTGTTGACCCATGCTCGTCTTTAAAGTCCACGTTGGTGCTTTGATGGTCGTCTCTGGTCTAAGCCGGTCTTTAAAGGCATTAATGGTCTAGGGTAGTCTCTGACAGACTAAACTATTCCAACCTGATTTCCTGTCAGTGGTCTAAGATGTGCTTTATATGAGCCAAGCTGGTCTTTTGATGGTCTGAGCTGATGTTTGGGTGATCTAAAATGGCTCTGTCTTGGCCTAAGTCTCTTAAGAGCTAAGGTGGTCTTTAATGATCCAAGGGTTTGTTTGACAATCTAAACTGGTCACCCAGGTGTCCCCCAGCTCCATTCATCATTCAAATAGGTTGGTCAGACTGGTAACTCGGCCAACAGAAGGACAACCCCAGAACAAAACCTTTTCATGAACTTGGACAGCTACACTGCACCTGCACCGTTGAACCCTGTTTTCATGGTTAAAGCTGTTTTTGTTTCCTATTTGTCCTTTTACTTCTGGAGCACAACACAGTCTGCTGACATTTCTATTGAAGTGGACGTAGTGCTTCTTGGTTTCTAGTAGCTTCCTCCATTTAGTGTTTTTCCTGTGTGTGTCTGTCTGTCTTTCTGCAGGTGTGGGATATGAGGAGGGGGGAGGCCATCATGGATCTGAAACACCACGAGGATTACATCAGCGATATCACTGTGGACCAGGCCAAGAGGATCCTACTCACCACCAGGTGATAAAACAGTAGCATCCAAACAGGACATTGTTATTGAGTCCCAGTGTTATTCATATTTAAGTGATTTAGCATCTTTTAACCTATTAACCACAAACCATGTGGTCGTCACATCGTGACCAATTTTTGAGGCGTGCCTTCAGTTTTTTGATAGATTTTTGTTCGTCCTGGGTAGCGATTGAGTTAACTTTTATTTCAGTATAGGATGGAAATCACTGCACGGGGGCATTTACAGTGTTTTTCACAAATATATATGGATGTAATCAGGGTCTGTTTTACAGTGTTTTAAACCGAATCACTTCCTCTTGCTTCAACATCAGCAGCTTCAATATTGGCCGCCAAACAGCAAACACTTCATGAAAGACCCACATTCAGGCTCGGTTGTTGATGGCCTTCTCAGTTAGCTCATGCTTACAATGCTGATCAGCCACCGTGTCTCAAACCTTGCATTGCAGAGTGACCTTGAACACACCACCAAGCAGGCTGTTTTTAATCCAAGCTCTAATTTGATTTGCTGTAATCTGATGCAGTGGTGATGGGACCATGGGTGTCTTCAACATCAAGAGGCGGCGGTTTGAGCTGCTGTCTGAGTATCAGAGCGGTGATCTGACCTCCGTGGCTCTGATGAAGCGGGGCAGGAAGGTGGTTTGTGGCTCCAGTGAGGGGACCATTTATATCTTCAACTGGAACGGCTTCGGAGCCACCAGTGACCGCTTCGCCATCAAAGCCGAGTCGGTGGATTGCATCGTCCCCATCACTGACAACATCATGTGCACTGCTTCCATGGACGGGTACATTCGGTGAGTTAGGTTACCTTCAGCTACCTTTGGTTTTTAAGAGCTTACCCTCAGGGTCCATGGATGGACCAGTTAACCTGGTCGTTGGTGGACAAATTGATGAGGTTACCAACACCTGGCCATTTACCTTCTGAAGGTGATTTCTTTGTTATATCTTGTCCTTGTTATCTACCGTTAGATTCCCATTAGTCAGCCAGCGTTTCTTACCCCATATCATGTTACAACATCTTCTGTCTGTTCTCAACCAGAGCCATCAACCTCCTTCCTAACCGGGTCATCGGCTGCATCGGGCAGCACGTCAGTGAACCCATCGAAGAGCTCGCCAAGTCCTGGGACTCCCGTTTCCTGGTCAGCTGTGCACATGACCAGCTCATCAAGTTCTGGGACATTTCCAGTTTATACAGCATGACTGTCAACGAGTATCGCAAGAGGAAGAAGAAAGACGGCCGAATGAAGTCTCTTACCAAGAAAGCCCTCGGAGACAATGACTTCTTCTCAGGACTTGTAGAGGAAACGGAGAAAAAGGAGGAAAAAGAGGAGGAGGAAGAGGATGACAGTGACAGTGGCAGTGATTAAAAAGCTGTTTAACTTTGGACACTTTAGTTCTAAATATGTGCAAAGACATCTGCTGTCTGGCCGAGGCTTTATGCAAAGTGCCTTATGCTGTCTGGAGTAGAAATGTTATTAAAGGTGGCACTATGGCAAACATTAGCAGGTGCTGGACCTCTGAGCTTGGAAGTTACTGTAGATAATGGCCTTGAAACTAATGGAAATATGAGGTTAAAACACAAATGTGGGGCATGATCAAAGAATGTCCCAGAAGAGTACTTTTTCCTTAAAAAAGATGTCTCCAGAGGGTCTTGATGAACAAAATGTAAAAACAAATGAGACACTAAAATGCTGGGAAACAACTATTATAGTGGAAGGACTGGCTATGGAACCTCAGTGCTTTCTGACAAAGCTTCTGACAACTTTAAGTACTGCAAACTGCAATAGAAGGTGTGGTCACATTTACCTTTGACAGTTCATAAGTGAAATCCACATTTTGCCAAGTATTGGTTCTCTTGACCATGTTTGAGAAATGTGACTACTTTCAAAAATAAATTTACCACAGAAAGTTTCTCAAATAAAAAAAAAAATCTTGCTTTTATATCAGTACCAACACTCGAACATTTTATTGACTAAATTCTAAAGATACCAGGAAGGGGGAACGATGTTCTGTTGTTTTTAGCCTGTAAGATAGCTGCCATCTATCCATTAAATTCTGGGTAAATATTTTCAAAGATTTACTTGAATTAATTTAAATTAATCGAATAAAAATATGTGGCGCATTTAAAATTACAATAATAGTTTTGCTGCTTCACCATTAATATACTTTTCCCTAAGATGGTACAGTCCCGGCCCCGCTCTGATTAGTACAGTCCAACCCCGGCGGGAACTCCAAAGGTCACATGATAAGATCATGGCGGCGAGTGGGAACGCGTAGCTTAGGAACAAGAAGTGTCCGGTTGTAGCGACTACATACTGATTCTTTTTTCTATGTTTTTAGAGGCTCGGTGTCCGGTGTTTGGTAAGTACGCGTATTATTGACCTGACAAGTGAACGAATGGCCCGATTAGCGCAGAGCTAAGGTTTTAATCCTCCCGTGAGAGCGGGTGAGCAGCTAGCTGTAGTTAGCCTCTGTGCTAACATGCCTGTATTTGTAAACACAAAGTGAATATGTTGCTAAAAACGTAAACTACAGATAAAGTTATTGTAAAACGGTTCAGTTCACACCGATGGTTCAACGCTTCATGGGCTTTCAAACTGTAGAAAGAGAAGCAAACGTCCTGTTTTCACTTTAGTTTTGGTTGTAAAATTGAGGGATGTACTAGTGATATTGTCAGAGAGCACGGCGTTAGCAACAAAGGGTGAAAACAGTAGTTTTAACAGTAATGCTCCAAATTCACAAGCCACTCAAATAAAACACATGTGTAACGGTCATAAGTGTTGAAGTAGGTCGTTTAACAAAACAGTAACGCTTGTTACTGCTGGACGTGGTAAAAGTACGTTTTGCATTTTAGATGCATTTTGTGTTTCAGATGAATTTATTGTACATTACATTATGCTTCGTTGTGTGTGATAGCTTTATTGATTAACCTAAGTATTGTTTAGTCTATGAAGCAGTGTCTTGGTTTGTTCTATCACAAGTCCAACTACCTCCAAATATTCAGTTTACCATGACAAAGACGAGCATCTTGGTTCCTTAATGTATTATACCTCCACCTCATGATGGTAACCATTAACGATGACTCTTCACCTACTTAGAGCAGCCATATTGTAACTGTGTTAGTAAAATTCAAGGCCACACATCAACATGAACAGACCTGAGAAGTATTTTTCAGACTTTACTGTGGCTTTATAAGGTCGTGACCTAGCACACTGATGGAGACTGAAGGCGTCCATGTCACCTGTGTTCTTGTCAGACTGTTCTCAGCCGCGTGTCCGAGGTTGCTGGTTCCATTCTGTGTTTGAGCCGTGAAGCAGCAGGATGCCAGGGAAAAGCGGTGACTGCTTCAAACCAGGAGACCTGGTGTTCGCCAAGATGAAGGGCTTCCCTCACTGGCCTGCCAGGGTACGGGTGCTACCGTGTATGGAATGTACATATGTTGATGCAGTTGTATAACTGTGTGCTCTGATGGATAATGTAACACTTCTGTGTGTGTGCTCAGATCTGTAAGTCAGAGGACAGCCACAAGAAGCGAGTCCCAGTCTTCTTCTTCGGGACCCATCAGATGTACGTGCACACAGCTGCCAACCAGTCTTATCATTTCTTTACCACATTGCCGACAGCGTTGGTTGAGCTGTGATGAATCTGTCTCTCCTCAGAGGTCACATCCCTCCACAGAACATCATTCCTTATGTGGGCAACAAGATGAAGTACGGCAGCGGCGTTCGCATCAGAGGCTTCGCTGAAGGCATGTGGGAGATCCAGAATACACCTGGTGTCGGGAGCAAACTCAAAGTCAGTCCTGAACTCTCTGACAGTATAGATATTATCTTGTGGATATGTTTCATATGTCACAGTCATAAGTTAATGTCTTTTCCCTTCAGTCTCCGGGCAGTAATTTATAATCTGTCATTAGAACTTTGTCGACTTGTGTTCTTTCTATATTTATGATGTATTAATTCTTTTCATTATCAGTTAATTGTTTAGTCTATAAAGTGTCAGAAAACAGAAGGATGTGACATCTTTGGTTTAGAAATCACATAAAACAAAACGATGATACTGGATTTTTGTCACTTTAATAAAGTGTCTTTTATGTAGTTATTTCACTGGATTAACTACAAACATCTAGACTAGGTATTTTTTAACCAATCTAAAGTTTCAAATGTAAAATATGGTTAATTACAATTGATTGCCACTTTATTAGGTACAGCTGTAAATTCTGATGTAATCCAGTGGCTCAGCTATGAATTTTATTTTATTTCATCAGTTTATTTTAGATGATGTTTAAAATGTTACTGAAACTTTAACTAATAAATAAGATAAATCTTTAAATTACTTATTTATACACAAGACTTTCAGGTTACAGTGATCTATAACTGTAGTTACACTGATACACCAGTAAAATACAATGTCAGTTATTTGTGTTCTGTCACAGTATTTAAAAAAAGTAAGGAATCTGTATCAAGATATAGTTTGAGAAGTTCCATCTTTTTGTCTGAGATTTTCACAATCCTAGTTTTCATTGTCGGTGTAGTTTTTACTGGTTCAGGAGGTAGAGCGGGGCGTCTCCTAACCAGAGGTTTGGTGGTTCGATTCCCACTTTCTCCAGTACACATGTTGAAGATTCATCGAGCAAAACGCTGAACCCCAGGTTGCCTCTGGTGGCTGTCCACCAGCATGAGCACAAACGAGTATGGAAGTGCCTTAAGTGTGCATCAGTGCAGAGAAAAGTGGGATACAAGTCAGTTTGTTAGATATAACTTAACGTCTTGTGCAGAAGCTGCAGGTTATTGGTATTTGGACATGATAAATGATTAACATTTGTCTGTTGTGTGTTGGATAACGTTTCTGCTTCTGTTTTTTCCTCAGACACCATCAAAGACCAGCACACAAACTACACCTCCTACACCAACATCCTCCACTAAAGCAGCGCCTGCTAAACAAACTAATGACAAAGCTAAAGATATGCCTGCTAAATCAGCCCCCAGTAAAGGTGCCCCTGCAGCAGCCGACAGTAAACCAGCTGCTGGCAGAAGTACTCCAAGCAAAGTTACAGCTAAAACAAAAGCTGCTGCTAAAACTCCTACAAGAGCTTCTTTAAGATCTGCTCCTCAGAAAGCCACGGAGTCCAAACAGAAAGATGTCGGTGCTCCAGAAATGACAACGGGAAATGCAGATTCAAAGGAAACAGCAAGCGGTGTGCCGCATACAGACAGGAGTACACCGGAGACTGCCACTGGTACTACTAGTGCAAACAAAGAGGTAAGAGGGTTCAGCTTTATTAATAGACTCCACCATATCCCATGACCCTCTCTGTCAGTACCACAAAGGAAAATTACTTTAGCCAAGCTTTAGTTAGCAACATATATTGTGAAAGCAGTGAAAATGGCTAGGAGATGCTTTATTCGTTGATAACAGCAGGTACCATAGGGCCAATAACGGCTTTCCCCCAAAGGTTAAGGCACAACATTAAATCATGATTCATTATGGACAGTTGAGTAAATCCACCCAGTTTTGTGAAGTCTTTTATTCAGGTGATTCCACCTGTTCACACCACTAGAGGAGGTTTCATTGTAATCGATCAGAAGATGAAAGTCAGGGCGGTGTAGACTCAGACGTGAGGTGGGCAGACGACTTGACGAAGAAGACGGGAGAACTGTTTGGAGTCCGAGCAGTAACTCTTGGTTTGTTTGTTTCCCTAGGCTGATGCTGAGCCACGCAGGAAGAGGCTCCCCGCTGGTCCTGCTGAGCCCGCTCCAGGTAACGCATGGTGCACGTGCTGTTACTACTCAGTTGTCTTCAGCATAAATTCCACTCGTACTCCAGCCAACAGCTGTTTCAGTAATTGACTGTTATGAAAACGGGCTGGGATGGCTGGTTACTGACCACTTTATTGAAAAACCCAGGGCGAGCTTCTTTTATGATCAGTTTTTACCAACTGAGTGTTGCAGCACTAAATTCCACCAACATTCACCACAAACCGTCTGGTCTCTTGTTTTCCCAACAGCCAGTAAGAAGTTGAAGACGAGAGCAACAACACAGGCTCGGATACAAACATCCCAGAACGACAGAGGACAGGAAGAACCGAAGGAAGAGAAGAAGCCATCTGAGAGCCAGGGAGTCAAGAGGAAGAGAGAAGAGAAGGAGACAGCAAAGAAGATGACAGAGGAGATAAGAGAGGAGCAGGAGTCATCAGAGAGCCGAAGAATGAAAAGAAAGGAAGAGGAGGAAGGGAAGCAGAAGAAAACAGGCCAAGATGAAGGTGTGGAAGACAAGAAAGACATGACGACAAAAGAGAAAGAGGAGGAGAAGCCGAGAAGACAAGAAAGACATGACAAAAGAGAAAGAGGAGGAGAAGCCGGCAGAAAGCCAAAGGAGGAAGACTAGGAAAGCTGAGGAGGAGAAAACCAAACAGGATGGGAAAGAAGGAAACAAAGAGGAGAGGATGAGAAGAGAAGCAAAGTTAGACAGTGAAGGAACAAAGAGGACGAGAGAAAAGGAGGCACAGGAGAACAGGAAGCAGGAAGTTACAGAAGGGAAGAAAGAAGTGACGAGAAGAGGGGAGAGCCAAAGAGCAAAGAGGAAGAGAGATGAGAAGGAGGTGCAGAAGAAAACACAGCAACATGAAGGTGTGGAAGGGAAGAAAGAAGAAGTAAAGGAGATGACAACTGGAGGAAAATCAGAGACTGCAAGGACAAGGAGAGACAAGGAGGAGGAAACAAAGGACGCAGGTGAGGAAGGAAAGACAGAAGAAGTAAAGAAGGAGATGACAACTGGAGGAAAATCAGAGACTGCAAGGACAAGGAGAGACAAGGAGGAGGAAACAAAGGACGCAGGTGAGGAAGGAAAGACAGAAGAAGTAAAGAAGGAGATGACAACTGGAGGAAAATCAGAGACTGCAAGGACAAGGAGAGACAAGGAGGAGGAAACAAAGGACGCAGGTGAGGAAGGAAAGACAGAAGAAGTAAAGAAGGAGATGACAACTGGAGGAAAATCAGAGACTGCAAGGACAAGGAGAGACAAGGAGGAGGAAACAAAGGACGCAGGTGAGGAAGGAAAGACAGAAGAAGTAAAGAAGGAGATGACAACTGGAGGAAAATCAGAGACTGCAAGGACAAGGAGAGACAAGGAGGAGGAAACAAAGGACGCAGGTGAGGAAGGAAAGACAGAAGAAGTAAAGAAGGAGATGACAACTGGAGGAAAATCAGAGACTGCAAGGACAAGGAGAGACAAGGAGGAGGAAACAAAGGACGCAGGTGAGGAAGGAAAGACAGAAGAAGTAAAGAAGGAGATGACAACTGGAGGAAAATCAGAGACTGCAAGGACAAGGAGAGACAAGGAGGAGGAAACAAAGGACGCAGGTGAGGAAGGAAAGACAGAAGAAGTAAAGAAGGAGATGACAACTGGAGGAAAATCAGAGACTGCAAGGACAAGGAGAGACAAGGAGGAGGAAACAAAGGACACAAGTGAGGAAGGAAAGAAAGAAGAGACAAAACAGAAGATGACAGAGGAAAAGAAGAAGAAAGAAGGCAGTTCTGTGGATGAAGAGGTAAAGCTGCTTGTGATCTTTATTGCATTTACACCCAAACACTGGTGCAGAAGGTTAAAATGACATATTCACCATCTAAATCTTTTTTCTCCCATGTGCAGCGACAGCGCCACCTGGCAGCCAAGAAGGACCGTTTGTTGAAATCTCTACTAGGTCTGCTGAAGTCCGGGAGAGGAGTGAGGAGGAGGGAGGCGACGAAGAGCACTCCGTAAGACCATCACATGCACAGGCTTGGATCTGCTAAAGAGTTGAGTTAAGTGCTAAATGTCTATTTTTACTTACAGGAAAGCTTGCAGTGCAGTGAAGAAGAACACGGAGGTCAAAAAGAGAGGAAGTGTGAAGACAGAGAGAGAATCATCTGTCAGCAGCAGTAAATCAGGAACCAAGGCCTCCACCAAGAAGATGGCTGGCAAGAAAAGGAGAGAGAAGGAAGGCAAGAACGATTCCAAAGAGAAAGAAGGTGCTAAGGAGGAAAGACGGGGTGAGGGGAAGCTGTCCAGCCAGAAGATGACAGGGGAGGGAAAAAAGGATGAACTGAAGAAAACAGAAAAAACAAACCAGAGCAACAAGACCACGAGTAAAGCACCAGATGACATGAAGACAAAAGAAAAGGAGAGCGGGCAGAAGAACAAAGACAAGATGAAGACCGAGGCAGAGAAAGGAGAAGAGGAGAGGAGCGCCGAAGCAAAGCAGCCGAAAGACGAAGAAAAGAAGGACGACAGAAAAATCATTGGAAAAATTGTGAAAGCGTCGGCCACACAGGGAACTAAGGTCCAACTGAAGACGATGATGGGAGGAATGACGATGGCGGCAGAGCAAAAGAAGACGGAAGAAAAGGTGGGCAGCCTAAACAAGGTAGAAGAGGAGAAGAAGAAAAGTTCAGAAAAAGTGAAGGAGACCGAGAGAGAGAAGAAACCTGAAGAGAGAAATCTGGAAAGAAGCTCGGATAAGGAGAGGAAATCTGAACGAACGAGGGCAGTGATAGAGGACAAAAAAGACAAGAGCGCAAAGGAGAAGAAGAGCCAGGAGCAGAAGAAATGTGAGGAAGATGAGGTGACAGCAAAAAAGGCTGAAGAGGAGAAAAAGGCACAGAAGGTAACAGCAAAATTGCAAGAGAAGAAGAGTGAAATGGAGGTGGAGAAAATTAAAGCGGGACAAAAGAAGAAGGAGAAAAAGAGTGAGAAACCTGACAAAGACTCACAGGGAAAGAAAGACGGCAACACTACGACAGACAAAACAAAAAAAACTGAGCCGGTGCAAGAGCGCAGCAAAGATACGAAACCTCAGAAGAAGAGTGACAAGACGACAGACACACCACGAGCAGAGGCTAAGTCGGAGGAACAGGGGAAGGTGGGCAACACAAGCACAGAAGAAGCAAGTACTACAAAGTGCGATCCCTCAGATGGAGGGAAGGCGGAGCCAAGGCAGCAGAAGAGTTCGACTATGACGCTGACGGACTCGACGCTGCACAGAATCCACGGAGACATCAGGATTGCACTCAAGACCGACAACCCTGTAAGACATCCTGCTTTACTACAATACTCTACTGTGTAAACATGTCTAAACATGTTGTGACCAGTTATCACCAGCTCGTTGAACTTTGAACCTGGTCTCTGGGTCTGTCCCCTGTCCACCCAGCGGACAGACCCAGAGACCAGCCGCTTGAACATAGTGGAGCTTTAGCAGCTACAGAGCTAGAGGTTTCCCTCAGCACCTGGTGGAGAGCGGCTATTAGACTTGGATTCATCAGCGCTCTCTTGATTATGTCGTCTTTCAGCATCCTCTTCTTCTGTGGTGTTTTAATGGCACCTGACTGGACAATTAGCATCATCAGCTATTGATCTCAGTGAAGCAGCTCCTCTGTGCCAAACGGTAGGGGGTGGAAGCATCTGCAGATTTTCTCAATTTAGTTAAAAGGTGCACTAGACCTGGACTTTAGATGCTGCTGGGTCTCAGTACCGCCTGACGGAGCTGCCAGCACGACTGCAGCCGCTCGTGGACCTCTGAAACTAACAAAGTCTGAACTGTCAGTCTTCACGTGTCTGGTTCTTTTTGTCTTTATTTCTTGCAGGACATCAGTAAGTGTCTGGCGGCGTTGGATCAGCTCAATATGGTTTATGTGACGTCTCAACACATTCAGAGACACAGCGAGCTTGTTGCAACACTGGGAAAGGTACACAAACAAAGAACGTCCTTATGTGTGTGCCTAGTTATCGAACCTTTCATCAAGTCGTTTGTGGTTCAGGTGATAGCTGCAGTTCTACATCCCCGTCTCTATCACGATGCAGCCTAAGAGCTGTGTTAGCTTAGCTGTCTGTGTCAGAAGGGCGTGACCCTGTAAACATCTACAAACAACCTTAGCCACAGGTAGAAACCACGGATCGTAAAACTCTAAACTGTCATCCCCGACACTTCACTTTTTGCTGCTGTAGAGCCAGGACTCGCTAGCCAGCTAACGCTAGCTTCAGACTGGAGGCTGCATTTTGCACAGTTTTGTCCCAACCAGGTATCCATAGTTCACACTGTAGCTTCAGGAAGCAGGACGGGAGGGGCAAAGAGAGGGGAGTGGTTTATGGCGTCCATTTGTTTTGAGGCTCACTTGATCCTCTAGAGGCTGACAAGACGTTAGGCAGAGGAGCTTTAATATATGAATGTGTGTGTGTGTGTGTGTGTGTGTATAGATCCGTAACTACAGAGCGAACCAGGCCGTCATGTACAAGGCCTCCATGCTGTACAACCGCTTCAAAAACGCCTTCCTGGTGGGGGAGGGCGAGGAGGTGGTGAGTGCCACCTTTCTGCGCTCCCTGCTGGAGGAGAAGGAGAGGGAGGAGGCGCAGAGGGTGGAGCGCTGCAGGGAGAGGCTGAGGAGGACTGACGGAGGGGAGGAAGAGGAGGCGGAGCAGAGAACAGAAGGTACAGACGTTAGTAAGAATGACTGTGGTCTGAAAGTCGTACCACAAACCGTGTTCGTTAAACACCTGATTGTCAGTCGGACTGTTTTTATTACTAAGCAGCTCAACGTCGCCTCACGGGCTGTTGGCTGATGTGACGCCGCCTTCAGCGGAAATACCAGAATGTGTTCAATTAAATAATTTAATAATCCTATTACTATTTGATCAGAATCGTCCAATTGGCAGCCTCATTTTGTTTGTATTTATATACTGTCCCCCCCCCCTCCACAGCTCCAGTGGACTCTTCCTGCAGCAGCCTGGGCTGAACCATCTCTCTGCTGGGGGGTGTGCCCCTGAACCAGCCCCCCACAGTGGACAGCGTTTACCTCGTCACACAGCAGTGTGTCCCCTTTACAGCTGCAGTTATTTATCTCTGTTCACAAATCAGTGGATGCTCTTTAAGCTGAGGCGTAGAGAGCATCAGGGTGAGTCGCACCTGAACAGGTACAGCAGGTCTGGATGAGCCTCACTTACTGCTGGTTGATGTGCTAACTTCTGTTTAGTGCAGTTCATGTTATTTTAAATAGATTATGTACTGACTCCAGAGCAGTGTTTAACTCACTTCCACTAATACACTAGTTTGTAATTTATATTTTGGCTTTTCCTTTATCAAACCAGTCACCTGAGCATTATGTACCTTATGTCCTGACCCGACCTTAGCTGCCTTTAATCCAACTTTAGGCTACCCCTGAAACTGTAACACTAGCCCAAACTCAGGAAGGCGGGAACCTGGACAGACTGGTAAGCAGTTAGGGGAGTGAGATTCTTCCTGTCATTTAGGTGAAATGTACCTTTAAGCCCTCAACATAACCTTAAGCTTCCTGTGCTAAGCCTGTCTGCTGTTCGGAGAGGGGCCTTCGATTACTTTTCCTTTTTTGGAAATGATTCAGCAGCAGTACTTCTGGCCCTCAGTTGTTACTAAGAACCATTTTAAAGGTGCTCTGTGTGATTTCACATCATAACTATGTTTATCTTGTTAACGGATAGCGGTGTGCGATGGGCCGATGGGAAATGGGGGGGTTTTCTTGCCCATCAGACTGATCTTCAAGCCCTCGCAGCCATTTTAAACTTTAAATTAAAGCATTATGCCGCCTGTGGAGAACTCGCCCAGCACATCTTTCACTTTGTACAGAGAAGTTGAATTCTGTCTTTTATTGTGACGCAGTAAGATGTTTTTATTAAACTTGTGTGTGGTTGTTGCAGTAGTTCTCCAGGTGGCTGTCACTGTCATGTAAACATGTCGTTCTTACTCAGACATTTTAAAACGAGACTCGTACTCACCTGATGTGTTGTTTCCAGTCACGTTATTCCACTAACGTAGAGTTTGACCAAGTGAACAGTCTATTACAGAAAGCTATAAACTGGATAAACTTGTTTTTCCCCCCAACTTTTATTTGCAAGGGACCATGTACTGAACAATATTCAACGTGAATGCAAAGCTTGATTTAAAGATCCTGTGGACATGCACATTAAAACCGTTTTCAGATAAATTAGCAGTTTGACAAGAATGAAGTAACTTTATAGGAACATTTCTCTTTGAGACGCAGTTTTTTATGTTGAAATCTTCAAATGTGCTTTGTGTAAAACTACAGATTTTATGATCATGATAAATGACTTTTCCTTTAAAGTTTCAGTGATTATATCATTTTAAAGCCCAAACTCAGTCGTTTAGACGCATTGCTGAACTATTGCAAAGGTTTAATTTTTAATTTCTCCTTTATTCTCAAAGTACTTTTCTCTGAAACTTTCTTTTTTAAAATGTGTTGCATATATTTTTATACCATGAATTCTTGGCTGTACCAGATTCTACCAGTCTACAATTTAAAATGAGTAGTGTGTGTGGCTCCAGTGTTTTGGTTGGGTTGTTCCTCTATTATAATAATAATAATAATAATGTCTAGACTTTGTAAATATAGTGAGACCACCTTTGTTGTCATCTGGCCCTATACAAGCTAAATTAAATAGAAACTGAAAAGTATGACTTGATTATAAAGTTGCACAGTTTTTTCCAACGTTACATTTTCTGGTAAACTGTTTTTGTTAAATTTTAAAATGAAGGCTTTATTTAAAATGGCAGCTTTTCCGTGTAGGACTTGTTGCATGAGAGCGTTTTAGTTCAAACCCGGTTTTCATTGTGAGATGAGTCTTTTCACACAGAATTCGGCTCCAGTTTCATTAAAAGACTTGTTGATTTTACTTAAGGTTTGATTTAACAAAGTGGTTCTTTGAGAGGAAACCTGTGATGATGATGATGATGATGATGATGATGATGTGAAGTGACGATCAGGTTGTTTTTCCGCTTGCATTGCGGTGTAAAACCACTTTTCCCGTTAAATCCGTGCGGTGCGCACCGTGCGGTGCGCCAGCCCTGATCCGCGCTGTCCTTCAGAGGCTGCGCGCTCTCGGTCCGGGGCGGAGAAACGGAAACTCGGGGGGTGTGTTTTCTGTCAGCGGCTTGGACGTAGACGGTTTGTCACAGAGGACGGCGGACGCTCGAGAGCAGCACGACCCGGAATCTCCAAACCAGCGCCAGTGTCGACGGGAGATACACGGGACGACGATAAACGTGAAGCAGCGGCGTGCGGCCGACATGAGATCGTGGTTCTCCGGGTAGCAGCGGACCTGACGGAGGACGGGCACAGGGCACCGACATGGCCCACGTAGGCAACGGAGCGGCCGCCGAGGAGGAGGAGGTGGGACTCGCACCGATGCATGTCGCCCGGATGTTTCCATAGGTGTCCGCGCCAGTAGCGTGTGTATCGGCCGGTACTTGGGGTTAAGGGGAACCAACACATTCGTGTTTGTAGTTTATTGGCGGTGCTCGGTTTGTGTTCACACATTACTGTAGTGATCCTACAGTAGTGACCCAGTAATGTCCAGGCTGGTACTTCCTCTGGCCTCTGCCACACACATCCTACGGTGTTGTCTACGGTATGATGTGGTCAGTGTGGTCCCAGTCAGTCTGGGCTGCTTCCATGGTTGTGTTACTGTGTTCCTATAGTGAACTAATCCCTCCTTACATCCTTGTTCTCCATGGTAATGCTTCAGCATTCCTTTCCAAACATGCCTGATGCACAAACTGCCTTTCATCCACATGTTCAGGAGGCGTAAGGAGACAATATTCTACTTTAGAGTCTTATGTGGCCTCTTGGTCTGCAGTCATTTACACCACTAAAGAATTCTACTTTTATCCCCATGTGTTGTTGAGGTGCCTTGTGTCTGGTGTTATCACCTTAGTGTTTCTCCAGTGTTTCTATGGTGATGTTACTGTGTTTGTCTTACTACTGGATCGTATTTATTGTCCTCAGTCCTCAGTTTACAGTGCACAGTATACTGTGTGTGTTGCTCAGTACTGATTTAACTTAGAGCTTTTCTAAGAGTGGCTCTATAGGTATAATGTGGTCATAAAGTCCAGTGGATTAAGACCTGAGCCCTGCTTCTGGCTGATGTTTGTCCCTGCTTTGTCAGACTATCACCAGTAGAACAATAAGCTGTTGGTGTGGGCCGTCGGCAGCGTACCCACGGATGTACAGGAAACTATCACTGAATCACTGTGGTGCTGAGGAAAACTGAAAAGCTTGATGATTCTCAGGCAGGTTCTGCAGTTGTGAGGAGCATTTTTGTTTCAGATTGCTGAGTGGATTCCTAGATGTTTGTTCTGGATGATGATGATTTCCTTGTGACCTGGTTTGACCGATGATTCAGAATGTTGGTTTTGAGGGACATTGGCAGCAGGTTGGTGCCATTTGTTTAAGGGCATGACAGGTCACATGTAGTTACCTAAGCTTGTTTTGTCTAATTGTCCTCATATTTTACATTCAGCTAAATTTGTGTGTTCAGTCAATTAGCAAACAGCAAACCTGTTCCTCAGTTGACAGAGGGCGAAGAGTTGGCTGAGTTTTTGGGCAGAAGCAGCTTAATCCAGTTAAGTATACAGAATAATGTTGCTCTTTTAACTTCTATATATTTGATGTATTTATTTATTTATTCTGTGCCTATGTTGTGCACATCGGGGCCATTGAGCTGGAGTCCTTGTATTTTTTAAATACTTGATGTGGGGTGACTGTGGTTCAGTGGGTAGAGCAGCTGTTTCCCAACTGGAGGGTCGGAGGTTCGAATCTTGGTGCCTGCAGTCCACGTGTCCTTGGGCAAGACACTGAACCCCCCCGTTGCCCCCCGATGGTTAGAGCCATCGGTTGAGGTGGTGCCGCAGATGGCTGCCATCGGTTCTGTACCTGAAACAAATTCCTTGTGTGTAACATGCTTGGCCAATAAAGGTGATTATTATCATAAAGTTTATGCTTTTATCTGCCATCTTGCATCTCTGTGTCACATCAGTCAAATATGCATATTTTTTTGGGTTTTCACTCTAGAAGGTGCCTGTTTTGTCGTTCTCCCAGGGTTGTGCAGTACTTCCTGGTTTAGCCCAGGTGAGCTCTAAGTGGTGATGCCATCTCACGTGTGTGGCCTCATGTAAATAGCAGATCTGATTTCAGCCTCAGGCTGCCTCCTGCACAACACACACAGGAAGTTGGAGGATAATATGAGATCTGCTTCCCAAAGCTGGAACCATGTTACATTTTTTTCTAATCTGAAATCCAAATTAAGGAGCTCAAAATGCCAGTAACCACAGGACAGTGATCGCTGGAGAAATCCTGCGTGGTTATGTAATGCACAGTGAGCCGGCAGGGTTCATTTTTAACCTTTGTTTCCATTCAAGCCTGATGCTCCACCTGGTTCCACCCTGGTTCACTGTGTTCAAACTGGGAGTGCTCCAGTACCAGAACTCCTGTCTGGGAGAGGTTCAACGCCCTTATTAGGTTTTAGGGGGGTCTGAGAGATCCTTCAAGGAGGCTTTTTTTTTTTTGTAAAGTAGAAGAAAAAGCTTTATTTTATTGTCATTGTAACATTGTGACACGTACAATGAAATTTTGTTTGGAGCCAAGGGCCCGGGCCACTGCATGCATATGCGCCGCCATCACGGGCAACTTGGGGGGTTCAGTGTCTTGCCCAAGGACACTTCAACATGTGGTCTGCAGGCACCGAGATTCAAACCCTCACCCTTCCGGTTGGGAGGTGACTGCTCTACCCCCTGCACCATGGTCGCTGCCAACTAAGATGTTGCAAAAGTCGCCTTAAAGAATCTTCAGGGTTCTGAGGGGTTCTTGGGATTTTAGAAGGGTTTATAGATCCCTGTGATTGTCCTGTGTGTTTCAAGAAGTTCCTAAAGGTTTAGGATTTTAAGGGGATTCAGACGTCTTTGTGGAAGTCCAAGAAATCCAAAAGGGTATTGAGGTTTTGGATACCTCTGTAGAAGTTTTAGGGGGTTGTAACAGGGTCCCAGGGGAAGGGTTCACAATGACTTTATTGGGAAGTGCACGTGTCAAACTCAAGGCCCACGGGCCATATCCGGCCTGCGAGATCATTTTATATATCTTGTTTTTAATATCACCGGTAACATACAAACTACAAATCCCATAATGCAGCTCAACAGCTGCCTTACCAAACGATAGACTACCTGCGATCATTCCTGCATCAATTACATCAGATCAATCAAGCGTCTGTTGATGTATACAACCCTAATTTCAAGTCAAAGCTAGCCCCTAACAATGGCCAAGAGAAAAGTAGATTCTGAAAACAGAGCCTTTCTAAACCGGTGGGAGGCTGAGTATATGTTTACTGACATTGTCGGTAAACCTGTGTGTCTTATTTGTGGAGCTAATGTGGCTGTAATTAAGGAATATAACCTAAGACGGCACTACGAGACAAAACATCAGGACAAGCTGAAAAACGTGAATGCAGACAAAAAGCAGGCGTTTGTAATTGTAAGGCTTAGCAGAAATAGGGTTGGTGATTTTAAGTTCAAGTTGATTTATTTTGGAATAATATTGTATCCTGTCTGTTTCGTTTCATATTTATGTTCAAATGTTTATGTAACCCTCTTTGCTAGTGTTACAAATTGTCTAGTACTTTCCTGTGACCAGTAACTATGGTACAGGGGATTTTTTTTCCAACTACAAAGGCCAGTACAAGAGGGAGTTTCTCTGATCAGAATCTTCCAGATTCGTGGGAGCCAAGAGATGAATAACTACAGTGAAACAACCAAC